ATAGATAGATAGATAGATAGATAGATAGATAGATAGATAGATAGATAGATAGATAGATTTTATTTTATTAAAAACAAACAAACCATTTCACACACAACAAAACAATACAAAATAAAATAAAAGGAAAGGCAGCAGAAGAAGAAAAGTCATATACAGACACAGAAAAAAAAATCTAAATCATATTCATCTTTCTCTAGTCTTGCTCTGGTTTCTCTTTGGTCAAATATTTTTAATTGAAGTGTAAACACATCATTTTCATTTATTCAGTAGAAGAGCAGTTGTGTACCACTATTGAGAGTATTTATTGGGAATAAAATCTTGTTTTTTCAGGAAACCCAACACAGTTAAACAGAAGAATGCATTCCCGCCAAACTTCATCCATTCTCTGGACTCCACACACATGATGCTGACATCTCTCCACTGCCACAGGTATTAATTATTACAGACTTAGATGGTTGGAACACAGATTTATGATAAAAACAGCGTGTTGCTCCATGAAAGTGTGGCGTCAGAAGGTTTTGAGAAATTTGTCTTGTTTTAAACACACTTATAACTTCAGGCACTAGTTGAACTGTGTAAAGTCTTATTTCTGTATAAATTATTCTTTTTTTTAAAAGTTGTAGTCAACACAGAACTCTGGTTTTGAATCATCTGCATTTGGTCAATTACTGCTTTTCTTTGAAGRTTTCCTATTTTTAAACCCTTTCTCTTCTTACATGAACCCTCATCATCCTTTCCTCCCGTCCTCCCTCAGTGCTGGCCTGACATTCGTCTCAGTTCACGACTGTTTCTGGACTCACGCTGTCACTGTGGACACCATGAACAAGGTATTAGATTACAGCGATCTCTCCTTTCCCATCATTCCTCACCCTTATCATCCCTTTACAGCTATTTCCATCCTGTCTGATCATGGATTGTCAGGATTTGGTGCTCCTTTTTTAATGATTTGTAGAAGTTAAAGATAGATCATGTGATTTAGTATTTTCGTCTCTGTCTCATCTTGGCGTAGAGTTTTATTTTTTATTTTTTCCTCTCAGAGGAATGATGTGTGGTTTTCAAAGCCTGGGATACTGAGCTTGTTTTACCGATAACACAGAGGATGCAGGAGATTAAATCAATTTGTGCCGTATCTATGATGAGCGCTTCTGCTGTAATAGAAGCTGCTGCTAAGTGATGCCCCTGATACAAACTTCCAGTTGTCTCTGCCTCATACATTTTCAGGCTGCAGGTAGCAGATGGAGCCAGTTTTGCTGAATAAATGACTGCCTGCTCCTGCATGTCAAAAGTAGATCGTCCAGTACAGGCTGAGACACAGCTCGGAATAAAATAAATCAAATTATCTCAAAGTCCCAATTTTCTGTAGGTGCACCTCCAAAGCTCAGTCACAGTTTTAGATGTTTGTCTAAATCTCAGAGGAGTCATGAGTAGAGAAGCAGCTTCTTCTCACTACATTTATTTCTTTCATAGTCTCCATCTTTTGATGTGAGGGGTGTATGCCTTCCTCATTACACAGGTAATTGAACACAGCAGCAGAGGAGAGGGCTATCAGATACCTCAGTCAACATTTAAGTGCACAGAAAAAGGGAGTCTTTAAGCCAGTCTGTTCTCCATCTTTTTTTCTGGCTATTTTCCACACTGGCAGCCTGTCTAGGATGGGATTCAGAGGAAGATTTACTGCGAGATGCACAAGTAAACCAGGATAATTGWGAATTTATGAGGAAATTGACTTATCTGCATAAATCATAGAAGTAATGCATAGAAAACGTTCGTCTGAGACCTTCTCAGATACGGCCCCAGCTGTGGATTTTAATTGGGTTGGCGCTTGACTTTGTACAGTCTAAAGACAGCTCAAACTATTTTTTCCTTCCCTTGAGGAAAGGTATAAGTGTTTTTATCACTTCACTGTTTGCCTAATAGTCTGTCCTGAGTTTAAAAATATTTTAAAATGCTGTTGGGAGTATTTCAAAGAACAGGGGAAAAAATGTTACCAAGGGCTGCTGCTGAACAGTCAGATCATTTACWTTCTGTGCCTCAAATCAGATTTTAGTGAGAACAATGGCTCATATAATTTGGGTTTAGTTTTGGCAAGAATTTGTTGATATGATACATAACATGACACTGAGGCACGATACGATATACTACGGTATATTGTGATACTGTAAGCAAGGCTATATACAGTATTGCCTTTTTTTTCACCAAAAATTCAAAATTTTAAAAACTCAGTATGTTTATATGTATTTTATTAGGGATGCACCGGTATGAAAATTTCAGCCGATATTGATATCCGATGTAATTATTGTCATTATGGCCAATAACCGATACTTACCGATATTACACAAACACACAAATTATATTATACATAATACACACAAACACACTTGTGTCTTTTTTGATTCTGTAAATAAACGACAAGACCTCTGACGTCTACTTCAGTTATTCCTGGCTGCGCAGCATCAATATCCCTTTCATGATCCTGATCAAACAGATGCRTCTCAACCAAKCATCTCCCCTCCTGAAACAGAAACACAAATCTAAAAAGTGGGAAATCAATATCAGACGTCAATATCGGCCCAGTTTTACATATCGGACCGATACGATATTCTAAAACATGACCATTATCAACCGATACAGTTATCAATACCGATATATTGTGCATCCCTATATTTTTATAGTTCATATTTCTTATTTTATCCAGGTTTTCAATAGTTGGGTCAAATAGTTAGACAATATATTTG